CCCTGGTGCCAGGAGGGACATCCCTGTCTCGGGGGGCACCAGGGACAGCAGCAAGGGAGGGGATTGTCCTGCTCTGCACTGGGGAGGCCTTACCTCCACTCCTGGGACTGGGCACCTCAATGTACAAAACAACTAAAGCTCCTGGGGAGCATCCAAAGGAGGGACATGGGGATGGGGAAGGGCCTGGAGGGGCCACACGAGGAGCAGCTGAGGGCACCTGGAATGTCCAGCTGGAGGAGACTGAGCTCAGATGTCCCCAGGGGCTGCAGCCTCATCCCAAGGGACAGCTCTGATCTCTGCTCCCTGAGAGCAGGGACAGGACCCAAGGAATGGCTGGAGCTGTGCCAGGGAGGGTCAGGCTGGAAAGCAGGAAAGGTTCTGCCCCAGAGGGTGCTGGGCACAGCCCCGGGGCTGCCAGAGCTCCCCTCCCAGGGATGCAATCCCCTCCCTGGGATTGCTGGGGTGTCTGTGCAGGGCCAGGAGCGGGAGCTGTGATCCCTGTGCTCCCTTCCAGCTCAGCAGATTCTGTGGAAAGCTGTGCCAGAGAAGCTTTTCACTCTGCCCCGGCCAAGGAAGAGCTCTGAGCTCTGCCTGCCCCCAGTGACTCCCTGCCCTTTGCCATTTCACCAGAAGGTTTTCTCTTCACGCCTTGCAGCTTCCCCTCCTGCCCAGACGATCCCGGTGTCCTCAGGCACCCCGGGCTGACTCCAGGGGAAGGAATGGGGTGTGTGGGTACCGTGACACCAGGGACAGCCACCCCCAGCGTGCTCCCGGCTTTCAGGTAACAGGTGGACACAGCAAAGAGAGACAGAGAAGGACAAGGAGGAGCAATCCCAGCCCAGCAGCTGCAGAGCTGCCAGCTCAGGCTGAGGAGCTGCACTTCCTCCTGACAGCACCTCACCCTCGCTGTGGTGACAGCCCCCGGTCACGGCTCCGTGCCACGTGGGGTTTGGTTTAAAGGCGCCCCTGACAAAAATGACAATTCTGGTCAGGCTTCAGGCCCTGCAGACGTTTATTACTGTCACTCTCGAGGTGCCTCTGCTCCATCTGGGACTAACAGGCACTAAGAAACACAAAGATGGAACTTCCCACTTCCACACCTCATCTAACAGCAATATGTGTGGCACTCAAATTCCACCTAAATCTGAGCCTTTTTTGTCTGGTATTTTCAAGCTTGGCTGCAAAAGCTTCATTTCCTGAGATAACTGATATTTATTTGCCCAAGTTTCCCTCCAAACCAGAGTTAAGGTGCAGGTAAAAATAGTCCAGGCAGTGATAATAATGTCAATATTGGCTATTGCAGTGCTGGCAGCTGGGTAGGATCAAAACAAGGAGCAGGGAAGTCCATCAGGAGTGAGGGGAGGATGGTGGGAGGAACAGGGACAGAGAGGGAAAAAGAAAAGCTCAAGTAGAGAAACAGAGCAGCAGCCAGGAAAGACAACACACTCCTGCTTCCAATAATATTGAATCAAAGGAGACACTTAAGAGCCTTTGTTGCTACTCCTGGTCACACAGAGGCCACATTCCTTCCCTGAGCCTTAATAAACCCCGACATCTGTGGATTTTCCATGAAAAGGAGGTAAAACCACCGCAGTCCATAAATGTAACTGGGAGCAGGGCTGTGTTCCCTACACAGAGGGCCAGGAGTGAGGGACTGCTGCTCCCGGCCGAGCTCAGTGACAGCCCGGCCCGAGCACTGCCGTCACTCATTAACTCACTCTATTAACTCCTCAATTAGTTCTCCAGGAATTCTGCATCCAGCAAAACAAGACCTCCCACAAACCCTCCTCCCTGTAAAGTTCTCTGAAGTTCTGACAACCTGGCACAGGCTCCCCAGGGAATGGGCATGGCCCTGGGGCTGCCGGAGCTCCAGGAGCACTTGGACAACACTCCCAGGGTTGCACAGGGTGAGATTTGGGGGGTCCTGGGCAGGGCCAGGAGCTGGACTGGATGATCCCTGTGGGTCCCCTCCAGCTCGGGATATTCCTTGATCCTGTGAGTGAAGCACCCAGCTCCTCCTTTGCTCTCAGCTCACCGACCTCACCCGTTTCTCCCGCACCATTTGCACCCAAATTTCCCAGTTATTCTTGTTCTGCTCCTGTTCCAAACCCAAGATTTCCTCCAACAAGAGACTCTCCTATTTCCTGGCATTCCAGTTTGCCCATTTTTACGGCTGAGCTGCAGCTCCTGCCCTTCAGGCACTCTGACTCTGTTAAACCATCCTGCTGGGTGACATCCACAGCCGTGATCCCAGCACAGAACCCCGGGCTGCTCCACCTGCACCCCCGGCTGTCAGCAAGGAGAGCAGGAGAGCTCATCCCTCTGCTCCCAGCCCCGAGCTCCCCCCAGACTCTGCTGAGCAGGGACAGGACCCAGGGAAGGGCTGGAGCTGTGCCAGGGGAGGGACAGCATGGACAGCAGGAAAGGCTTTTCCAAGGGTGCTGGGCACTGCCCAGGCTCCCCAGGGAACGGGCACAGCCCCAGAGCTCCAGGAGCGTTTGGGCAGCGCTGCCAGGGATGCACAGGCTGGGATTGTTGGGGTGTCTGTGCAGGGCCAGGAGCTGCATGTGTGATCGCTGTGGGCCCTTCCCATTCAGGAGATTCCATGGTTCTGTGATGCTGGAATTCCTCTATACCACTGCTGGGCTCAGGGAAGAAAAGTTTTGGGTCCCTTTTGCCACCAGAAAACTCAAATGAAGCATTCCCTGTACAGAGCATGGAAAAGCACCACAGGAAAACACTGGAATATCTCCCTAGCAAAGAGGAGAGGAAGCATTAACAAACCAACACCCCCTTCCTGCTCAGGATCTTACTGTGGGGAACAGCAGGGATGGGATTCCCTCCAGCTGTCTCCCAATCCAACCAGGAAACTGTGATCAGGACCGGGGGATCCCACTCTGGAACACAGCTGGGCCCCCCAGCCCCCTGTTCCCCAAGGAAGCTCTGCCAACAGTGGCCTGGAGCTTCCCAAAAATCCTGTAAGCCCACAGAGCACTTTTCTCCTGGTAACAAACCCCCGAGCAGCAGCTCTCACACAGTGCTGCCTCGTCGTTATTATTTTTGACAGTTTCCAATTTGTGAAGTCAGAAATCCACCCTGTCCCTCCCACAGCACACGCAGAGCTCCTGGAACACCAGGCTGAGCAGGAGATGATCCACAGCTCCTGCATCCCACAACAAACCTTCCCCCAGCGTGAGGTTCTGCAGGAACCTCTCCTGCACCACCTGCCCGACAGGCACCTGCTGCTGCAGCACCAATCTGTCCCCACTGCCAGCCAGGACCTCGTCCCACATCCTTGGATTTCAGCGTTAATCCAAAGGAAGTACAGAAAGCACCAGGAATATCAGTGTACGCACAGAGAACAAGCCTTGGTTTCAGACCGGTTTGTTCCTACCCAGCCCTCAGCACCTTCTGCCGAGCAAATGTCACCCAGGCCAGCCCAGGCCATGATGTGCTCCCACTGACAGCCCAAAATTTAACTTTGCTTCCCATGAGATCACCATTGGTTGCCATGGAAATCCCTATACTACCATCCACCAAGGGTTTTTTTTACCACTGAAGTATTTTGGCAGCATGTTCGCTTTTAAGTGTCAGAGTAATAAGAGAAAACATAAATGCTTCTTCTCTCATCAGGCTTTAAACAGAGCTTTATAACCCAAATCTGCTCCTAAGACCTTGGTTCAAACCTGTGGGGCTGGGCAGGGCTGGAATCACCACCTTCTCCTTTCTGAGACACAAAATAAACAACGAAAACAACCTTTAAGTTTTTAAAACATTGATTTCCAAGCGGGGGATCAAGAGAGGAAAAACCTCTTAGGCCCCTCCAAGTTCTCTCAGTTTCTCTTTTTCACTTCCTAGTTTGGTTTTTTTTTTAGCTGGTGCAAAACAAGGCCCTCAAATTCAGCAGGGCCCTCCCAGCCTCTGCCAGGAGCCGCTTTCCTGTCAGATCAATCTTGTGGTGATTCCAGCGGGGCCTCCACTCCTACCCCGGTTTCTGGTCGTTAATAAAACCAGCACAGTGACATTTACGGCCAAACTCTGCACCCTGAGGTGGGCAGGTCCCCAGGAGGGTGACACCCGTGGGAGGCTGATCCCCCTCCTGTGACCCCCGGGAGGGACCTGACCCCGGGAATGGACCAGACCCTCAGGAGGGGGACCCTGACCACTGATCCCTCTCCTCTCACCCCCGGGAGGGACCTGACCCCCGGGGACGGACCAGACTCCCAGGAAGGCGACCAGACCCCCTCAAAGGGGAGCAGACCCTCGGGAAGGGGAGCAGAGCCCTGGGAAGGGGATCCGACCCACCAGAGGGGATCAGACAGCCGAGAGTGACTTGACCCATAGGAGGGGAACCACACCCCAGGTAGGGGGACCCTCAGAAGAGAGATCTGACCCCCGGAAGGGACCTGACCTCCGGGACTGACCTCACCCCCAGGAGGGGGGCAAAACCCTCGAGAGGGGGACCTGACCCTCGGGAAAGGGACCAGACCCCCAGAGGGGTGATGTGACCCTCGGGCAGGGGACCCCCGGAAGGTGGCCAGACCCTCGGGAGTGCGCGCTGAGCCATAGGAGGGGGATCTGAGTGGCAGGAAGGGTGACCTGACCCCTGACCTTGCCACCGCCACCACTCCCGACAGCTCCGGCCACTCCCGGCCGGCCAGGTGAGCTCCAGGACCACCTGGAGGCCGCAGCCCCAGCCCCCAGCCCCGCCAGCCCGCCCCGCACGCACCAAAACACGGCAAAAGGAAACTGTCACGCGCAGAGCAGGCGGATTTAACCCAGATCCGCACGGAGCGAGGCGGCGGGACCACGGCCCAGCCCCGGACAGCGGCTCGGCGGGAGAGATTTTTAACCCCCCAAACGGAACCGAACCCCCAGAGCTCGGGGGGCGGCTCCGGGAGAGCGGAGCGGAGCCGGGGGGGCGGCGGGGCCCAGTCCGCGGCGCCGGGCCCAGCCCCGACCCTGGACCCGCGAGGGCGGCGGTGACAGCCGGGTCTCACCTGCGGGTGCCGGGCTGCCCTCGGGCGCTGCCGGGCCGGGCTGCGGGCCGGGCCCGCGGGCTGGGCCGGCCGGGGCTGCGCGGGCAGCGGCGGCGGAGCGGCGGCGGCGGCGGCTCCAAAATGGCGGCGGCGCCGCGGATCCCTCAGGGCGGGGGAGAGGGGCGGGGCCGAGGGAGAGTGGGCGGGGTCTGTATTGGGCGTGGTCGTTGGTGGGCGGTGCTATCGGAAGTGGGCGTGGTTGGGGCGGGACCGCGGGGACACGGGGACAGGGATGGGGACGGGGACAGTGGGACGGGAATGAGCGCATGGAGATGGGCACACGGGAATGGGGACACGGGGATGGCAACACGGACACAAGGACACGGGGACGGGGGCAGGGATGGGCATGGGAATGGGCACATGGGGGCACGGACACCGCAGGACGGGGATGAGGACTGTGGGACGGGGATCGCGACTCGGGACGGGACGGGGGGACGGGACGGGGGGACAGTGGGACGGGAATGGGGATGGGATGGGATGGGATGGGATGGGATGGGATGGGATGGGATGGGATGGGATGGGATGGGATGGGATGGGATGGGGGACAGGAACGGGGACAGGGAAGACAGGGACGGGAATGAGGATAAGGGGACGGAGACTCGGGGGCGGAGATGGAGACACGGGGGCGGGGACTGGGGACAGGGAGATGGTGGGACGGGGATGTGACAGGGACAGAGAGACGGAGACACTGGGATGGCCACGGGGACACGGGGACAGGGGGTCGGGATGGTGGGGCGAGGGCGGGGACAGGGGAACGGTGGGGCGGCCCCCGCCCCGGGGACAGGGGCGAGGGGACAGCGACAGCCCTCGGGACCCCGGGGTGGGCGAGCTGCGGCCCCCGGGGGTGGTCACGGCCTCGGGGGGAGCACGAGGACAGGACCCCGCGGCTGGGGGGACACGGGGACAGCGGGAGCCCCTCCCTGGCCTTCAGGTGGCCCCAGCATTACTGCAAGGGGGGACCCCGAGATGGGGGTCAGGGAACTGGGGTGGGGACAGGGTCCACCGTGTCCAGGGATGTGGGGTGAGCACGGAGAAGGGAAGGGAAAAGGGAGACGGAGGGAGCAGGGAGCCAGGGCTGGAGCAGGGATCTCTGAGTCATGCTGGCAGCCTGGGCTCCTGGATCCGCTGTCGCTGTGCCCGGATTTGTCTTTGTCTCGTGGATAAACTGCTTTCCAAGTGCCAGCATCCTCCAGGAACCAGCAGGAAGCCATCCAATCGTTCATTCCAAAGTGAATTCCTGCCATGAGATTTACCACTAAGCTGCTCCGTGCTGCTCTCGCCGAGGCCTTGACCCTGCACAGATTCCTGCACGTGGTTAAAGTTTACAGGGAAAACGTGGCCTTTGCCACGGGAAAAGAGGGACGGTTTTGTACTGCCCTGCTCCCAGGGGGCACAGAATCATGGGATCCTGGAATGGTCAGGGCTGGGAGGGAGCTTAAGGCTCTGCCTGTGTCACCCCCTGCCACATGCTGGGGTTTGGCTATGGGACTGTGCCACAGAAATGCCACTAGAAGTGTCCCCCATTACTGAGTGGGTAAAATTCCTCATTTATGGACGCTTTTCCAGTGTGAGGGCAGCAAGGGAAGGACTCCTAGAATTTATACAGCACCCAGTGTGGTAATTAGCACGTTGGTGGCCATTAATGCGGGAAAAAATAGCACAGTCTCAGGAGTTTCACTTCCCTGTTTCATTCTGTTGGAGGGAAATGGGCTTATAAAGCATTTTTTGTGGCTTACTGTGGCTTCTGGGGACAGGACGAAACCATCCAAGGAAATTCCCAAACCTTCCAGCCACCCCCAGAGCCCATTCCCACCCCCAGGAGGGCTGGGGTTGTACAGCCTGACTCCTCCAGCTGATTTCTGGAGTTCCAACCTTGGAACAGCTTCCTTCGTCTCTGCTCCAGCCCTCTGGAACACACTAAGATACAGCTGAACTCTGGGCTTGGCAGCAGCAGGGCCAGGAGCTGCCAGCTCCCCTCTCCCAGCAGGGACAGGGACAGGGACAGACACCCCAGGCCACAGTTCTGTGCCCTGGTTGTGACACAGGGCACCGGATCCCACTGGGAACCACTGCTGGAATGTCCTCAGCACTGACACAAGGGGCTGAGCCCAGCTGTGGCAGGGCCAGGCTGGACACTGGGGCTGGGAGCAGCCTGGGCTCACGGAAGGTGTCCCTGTCCCTGGCAGGGTGGCACTGGGTGCCATTAGGGACCCCCTCAATGCAAACCATGGCAGGATTCCCTGCAGGTGCTCTGTGTGAGGGCAGCCCCTCGGCACAAGGAGCGCTCCGGCTGCAGAGCTCCCAGCTCTGGAGCAGGGAGCGGAGCTGAGCCTGAGCAGGATTCCCAGCGGGAGCGGGCACACGCTGGGTGGGAGGCTGCAGGCCCAGAATAGGCTGTGGATGATGAAGAATTCTGGGATCTATTCTTGGCTCAGGATTGAGGCGTGATCTGGTGCCTCCAGCAGGCATCAGAACAGGATCTCCCAGCGCCAGTTTGACATTAATCTGAGCGGCCCTGCAGGGAGGAGGGGACGAGCTCTCCTCCCTCCTCCCGCAGCCACAGACTCTGCCGAGCACCCGGCGCTGCTCTGGGAGCTTTTCCAAACCCCGGCGTTTCTCTCTGGCTGCCTTTTCGGCCGAGTGACCAGGCCTGGTTCGAATCCCACAGCTCCGAGTGCCCGAGCGCAAACAGCCCGAGGAGCAGCTCGCATTCCTTGGCCTGCGGCACCCCGCACGTTCCCGGGGCTGCAGGGAATGTTCCTCGCTGCTCTGGGGAACATTATCCCGCCCGGCAGTGCGGGAGCGCGGGCGGCCAGGGCAGCGGCTCCTGCGGGGCCGGGGCGCACGGTTAATTATAGCCGGCAGGGTTGGGCAATGTTGTGTTTGCCGGGTTGCCGGGGAGATGAGCAGCGGCCCCAGCGCTGCCCCGGCAGCTCCGCGCTCGGCACCAGCGCTGCGCTTGCAGAGCTGCACCACCGACCTTCCCAAATATGGTCCAGCAGCAGCCGGAGCTCCCCAGCTCAGGCCGGGCTCTGGGATCAGCCGGCTCCTGCCATCAGACCCTCACAGCCTCTCCTGAGAGCACCAAGCTCAGCCCTCCGGGAAAATCCCGCTCTGCAGCCTCCCCTGGGCTGGGCAGAGCCCGAGCCCCGCAGGGCTCCCGCCGGGAGGTGCCGAGAGGAGCCGGGCAAAGGAGTCCTGAGGTCTCGGGGGTTTCAACAACAGGAAACCAAAACTGCTCTGGGGCAGGTCCTCAGGTCAAGGAAACCTCCTGTGGAGCCCGGCTGGGAGAGCTGGGAATGTTCATCTGGAGTGGGAAATGCTCCAGGGAGAGCTCAGAGCCCCTGGCAGGGCCTGAAGGGGCTCCAGGAGAGCTGCAGAGGGACTGGGGCCAAGGCCTGCAGGGACAGCACCCAGGGAATGGCTCCCAGTGCCAGAGGGCAGCCAGGGATGGGATCTTGGCAATGAGGAATTCCTGGCTGGGCTGGGATTGCCAGAGCAGCTGGGGCTGCCCCTGCATCCCTGGCAGTGCCCCAGGCCAGGCTGGACACTGGGGCTGGAGCAGCCTGGGACAATGGGAGGTGGCCCTGCCATGGCAGGGCTGGCACTGCAGGGGCTCTGGGGTCCCTCCCCACCCAGCCATGCCAGGATTCCCTGATTCTGTGATTCCAACATTTGTCTGTCCTGCCTCGTGACTCTGGGAAATTCTCTGTGAAGGAATGGGGATGCTGGGTGTGACCTACTGCCCCTGACAGTTCCATGCCCAGGGACAGGGCTCTGCTCCCATTCTAATGGAAACCCTCCAGCCCTCACTTTTATACTTCTCAGATGTTCTAAACACTTTTATTGCTCTTTTTATTCACAGTTAATTTTCTTCTGCTTGGCCAGGTGGGAATGTTCGTGTGGCTGCAGTGAAATCAGCCATGGGAGACCCCTGGGACAAGATTAAAACTGATTTTTACTGCGGGACAAAGAGTTACTGAGGAAAAAATGTCCAATATTTTTAATTCATATTTTCCTTGTCTTTTCCTCCTTCCTCTTGTGTGGCAAGAATCAGCTCCAAGTGTGGCAAGTGTAAATGCAGTGTTGCAGGCTTTATTACAAGCCTGTAATAAATCATAATCAGCATTAATTAGCAGTTCACGGGACAGGGCAGTGTTTTAGTGCAGCTTCCCTGCTCCCTGACCAGGAGAGCTCGACAGGGGCGGGGCAGGTGGGGCAAGGACATTAAAGGGCTGAAACTGAACGAACTGCACGGGGGGACCAAAGAAGTGCCAAAAATCAAATAACCAAACCGACGGGAGCGATGCTGCTGTGGGAGCTCGGCAGCCTGGCCATGGGATTCCTGTGGAAAACAGCACCTGCCAGGAGCTGGTGTGTCACCACACACCCGGGGAGCCTGGGGGGACACTCAGGGTCACTTGGACACCTCCGGGCACTCTGGAATCATGGAATGGTTTAGCTGGAAGGGACCTCAAAGCCCACCCAGTCCCGTGGGCAGGGACACTGTCCCAGGGTGCTCCAAGCCCTGTCCAACCTGGCCTTGGGCACTGCCAGGGTGGAATGGTTCTTTTTCACATTTTCTCTTTACACTGCTCCTACTCCTCTTCTGCTCCGGGCCTGACCCTGGCAATAAATAGCCCCCCAAAGTGCCTGGGTGCTCCTCAGCTCCTCAGCAAACCTGCCACAGATCTGCAATTTATCCCCGATATTTCCCATTTCCCAGATGTCCCTGAGCAGGAAGCAGCTCGTGCACTGCATTCACGTGCCTGGAATCCCACAAAAATCACGGTAACTAACAATCCCGGGTCAGCCTTTGCCCTCTGCCTTGGAACACCCCCGTCCGTGCCCGGCTCTGCCAACACCCCCGGGACAGCTCCCGGCCCCGGGGCTCCCCGGTGAATCCTTTCCCGGGGAAAACTGCTCCTAAAGGAATCTAATTCATTTTCTCACCTTTGTAAACGTAACTGAGGCATCAGGTAACTTCTACAATAGGAGTCGCTCAATAAAAGAACTCTCTCTCAAGCGAAAGTCAACTCTCAGCTGGGTCAGGTGAGGTCAC